TCCTCTCCTCTCCTCTCCTCTCCTCTCCTCTCCTCTCCTCTTTCCCCTTTATCCAACATGTACCACCAATCCCTGGCCATCCTCCCAGGGACAAATCCCAAACACCAAAATTTTGGAAAGTTGGTAGCCTTTTGCAAAAATCAAACCCTGTCCATTATTTATATTTTATAACTACAGATTTGAAATTTTGGCTTCTATAGCAAATACAGCTCATCCAATTAAACTTCCCACTTATAAAACTTGCCACCAGTCTCCAAGCTGGTAGCTCAATTTCTGTAATTATGTTCTGCTGCCCAAAATCCTCAGCAGCTTCTGATGGACACCTTTAGCTTCTGGACCAGCTCCTGTTCAGTCTCCATTTATTCTTGTTTAATTTGCAACTGGCAGGTGGGATCATCCCTGTATTGCCAAGTAGGTGAAATGTTTTGGAATCCTCCAGGTGAAACCTGTCGCATGGCCTGTTTTTTGTCTGGCATCCTCTCAGCAAGACATCAAAGACTGCAGCAGACAGAAAAGAGACAGCCTGTACATGTGTTCTTCCTGCCATCACTGACCTTGTCTTGTTCCATTTGACACATAGACTGAATTGCTTGCAAGTTCCATAAGCTCCCAGCAGTTGTGGACATAAATACCAGCTGGGAATAGCTCTTTTCTGAAATAAAGAAGAAGGAAAAAAAAATCATAAAATGAGGTAATGAAGATGAATCAGCCAGGCTGTTTGGAGTAGACTCTGTCTTCACAGAAAAAAGGAATATATCTCTGTCTGTAGGACTGCTCTGGAGGGCTCCCTGGAGGGAAGCAGGTCACAAGACAGTAGTGAGCATGTGCCTTGTGTGACCTCGCCCCTGCCCCTTGGAATAGGTCAGCAGCATCAGGGCATTCTCAAAATCAAATGTCAGCTTGCCTTTAGTGACTGCTGGCATCTGGTTCTGCATCCCTGGAACAAGGAAGGAGCTTGAGCCCAGCCAAAAACCCCCAAGGAGCTGTGTGTTTGGTGTGTGACTTGTTTCCAGAGGTGGATAGAACAAAAATATCTTAATGCTGTTCTCCTTTCTACTTACTGCCCATTTTGGGACAAGTCTGGGGGGTGTGGGAGTTTTCTGTTTTTCTCTCCAGATTTTACTGCCATGTACACTTTTCAAGAAGAAAAGAAGGAAGGAACAGAGAGGGAGAGGGAGCAGACAAGGGGAGGGAGCAGACAGCAAGTGGGGCATGTGCTGTTTTTTCAGAGTATTCACTTTTGATATGGGTAAATGGTGGAAACATTGGTCCTTTAATATGTGTTTGCAAGGTATATTTCTAAAGGGAAAACAAGAACTATGGCAAAGAGTTAAGAAGGAGAAATAACTCTTCAGAATTTCTGAACCAGCCTTTTGTGACCACCGAAGTAAGACGTGCTGGGAGGGCACTGCCAGAGCTCTCACAGGTGGAACTGCACACACTGCTTGCTTAGAGCAAATTCAGAGTATTCCCTGTGTCCTGAGCTCTGACAGTTCTGTCAGTTGAGTTCTGGGTGTGCAGTATTTACTGCCTCACCAAAATTTCAGTCACCTGGGGGACCACAGAAGAATCCATCTGCTCCGTAGCTGGTTTCCACCATTCTCCGTGTCCTCGCTGCTTGTTCTCCCTGAGCAGCCTTCTGTCCTCTGCCAATGCCAAGGTCATCATAGCTAGCAAGAGGCCAGATTATTGTTAATAACTGTGATTATTAACAAGAGAGTGTCTGCCTGGGAGTTACATTCACTGACAAGGCTCTGGTGCCAGACACAGCAATAGGGAGCCTAAATCCATTGCAGGCACAAGGACTTCAAACCCTCCAATGCCTCAGTTGCTTTTAAGCATAGGATGTATGGAATTCACATAAATATTCTGGCATATTTAATATGTGACTTTACAACCAACATGTTCCTCAAATCCCCCAAACCAAGCTCAAATACCTTTTCTTCTTGGCATAGGGAGAAAGGGAAAGAGTCTTCTTGTAGCCTGTATGGCTCTCAATATTCCTCCACACAATGAGCTTCCTCCCAATGTCGGTGTCCCGTGGCTCGAAACCCTGCACCAAGGAAAAGGGCTTTGTCACAGCTCCACTTCAGCTCAGCTTCCTTAGGCCTCCTCCAGCACATGGAAACTGTAGGAGACTATTACTGCATCTTGGAGAGATACACAAATTGAACTTTCCCTGGAAATACTGGATCCCAGAGATAAGAGAAAATATATGAACCCTTTCCCTTCC